TGGACCAGCCAGTTACAAGCTTCCTCGGGCCTTCTGGTCTAGGATTCGAAGTGAGTTGTGGCTGCGTCAAGACAAGTGGGTGGGGGAGTGTGGGTGCCCGTGACTCAGCAAGGTGAAGACAAGGCCAGGGGACAGGCAGAGGTACCACGAGCAAGGACAGAAAGGCAGGAGGCAGGGCACGGAGCAGAGGAAATGAGACGCAGGGGGCCTGAGGGGGGGCAAGACAGGACCCTGGGGGCCAGCCCACCAAGATGGGGTCGAGCATCATTAGCCACAGGACTTGGCACGCCTTTACGGAGTTGAGGGAAAAAAAGCTACTTTGTATGTAAGCTCTGCCAGAGAGGAGATTGTGGTGTTACAGAAAGCTCCAATCACAGGGAGAAGGAAGAGGGACATAATGAAGCTCCTGGCTTCGTTTAGGCAGTCCTGGATCCCCCCCTAGACAGCCTCCTTTGCAGTTCTTGAGCAAAGGGTGCAAAAGGCCGAATAGGCTTCTGGCTCTGGCGGAAGGGCTCCAGGAGGGAGCCAGGGCCCTCCTGGTTTCCTGTCCAGTGCCTTTTGGGACTCAGTATCCAACCCTTTCCTAGAATGTCTCTTCTTCCTGGAACACCCCTAAATTAAACAAGGTAAATTAAACAGGGCCAGTGGAATCTGTCTGTGCGGGAGCCTTCCACCTCAGGGGGCTACCCACCCCCAGGCAGCCAGCCTGTCTCCCTGTCCTTGGTACATGGGCATTCGAGAATACTCTGCCCCAGGCTCATGGACTTAGGCCTAATTTCCAGCCCTTCCTGCTCCCCAGCCCCACCCCAGCCCTCCCTGACCTCCTACATGACTTAGTGCTAGACTCCAATTTGACTGTGGGCTTCCTGGCAGCAGGGGTCCAGGGGCTCATACGGCTTCCTCCCTGCCCTCAGCCATGGGCTAGGCACCCACAGGGTGCTCCGCACAGACCAGTGGACTGGAGCTGAGCTGGTTCCCAGGGACCTGTGGCTCCCAAGGTCATTTTTCGTGTTTTATTATGATCTAGGGATGGTCAGCATCCAGACAGCCTTTGCCGGGCTGTCGAAGAGGTGCCAGTCTTGATGGAGAGATAAAATACGGCCCGGTGCTTTCTTAATTCTCAGCAGAAATAAAGTGTCAGGCTCAGTTGGGAAGATTTCTCAGCTGGAGCAGGTTCTGTACAGATGCGTGGGGCCTGGAGGGAGATCTTCTTTCTTGGCCAGTGTCTCTCTTCCCTGTTCTAGACTCCAGCCCTGTCCAGCCTCACCAAGGCCTGGTTCTGCCCTGAGGAGGTGGGGGGTGGCCATCATGAGCCTGTCCTGGAGAGAGGAGGCTGCGCCAGGCCGCAGAGATGGCCAGTGAGGAAAGGGACAACCAGAGAGGGTGATGGGTAGGACAGTGGGAGGGGCACTGCCACCTTGTCCTTCTTCTAACTTTGCCCCTCAGACCCTGGCCACACGGCCCCAGGCTGTCCCTTACAGGTGAACAGCATGCTTCAAGGACACTGGAGCCTGCTTCTTGGGGCCTTTCCTCTCCCCTGTCTGTCACGCCTCTGTCCAGCCATCCCCCTCGGTCACTGTATTATCTTCCCAGGAGGGCCTGGGGCTGGGGGCTGGTGGGACCTGGGCTGGGGTGCAGGTGCCCTCCTTGCTGATTCTCTTTCTGAGGTGTCGTCTGCATCCCTCTGTGGCCTTCCACCTGGGTTGTGCCTCTGTGTGCCTTGGCGGGGGGAGGGAGTGGCAACCAGGGCTATCCCCCAGGTCAGGAACAGCTCCCTGAATGCATCCTGAAGGCTTCTGGGGTCAGTCCTTTGGGGACATCATTAACTCTTTGACTGTGTTTCTGCTTCCAGCTTGGGGTCCCATCACAGGGAGCGAGTGGTCATTGGCCCAGGTTTTGGGGTCCTCCCTGTCCCTACTGCAGCAGAGGGCTGGCGGGTGGCTTCTTCTGCTAGTTCTGCCTCCCCTCCCCCTCCCCATCTCTGCCACTTTTTGCATCAACACATATCCATGCATTAAACAAGACATTCCATTAATTTCTTCATCATCATAACTTAAGCTGGGACATACCCTTTAAATATTCATTCAGCTATGAAAACTGGGCATTAAAATTTTAATAATGTCAAGCTCATTTGAACCAGGCTCCTTGGGGACGATTATGATACAATTAGAATAAATACTATGATTGAGCCGGTCCAAAGGCTTCACCTGTCTGTCCAACGTGGCTCCTTGCAGAAAGAGAGGTCTGTGGCCAGTGAGCAGGCAGACAGATTGACAGACAGGCCAGCCTGGCTCTTTCCTGACTCCTCCTCTCCTTCCCATAACCCCTCCTCCCCAAGTCGGCCCCCCCTGTTAACTTCTACCTCCTACAAGCATCTGCAGCTCTCTGCCGCTCCCTGTGGGTCAGAGTACAGAAGCATCCCTCCCCCATCTGGGAAGATGGCCCTGATTAACCCCTAGGTCCAGATACGCCGCCTTTCTTTGTCCTCCTGGGTGCAACCTAGACTGGGCTCCTGGGCTGCTTCCTGTGTGAGGGCCATTTTCCCATCTGTGTGTCTCCTCTTCCCTGCCCCGCAAGGGGCTCCCTGAGGCTGGAATGAATACCTCACCAGAACAGGGCCAGCCTGCAGAGGGGGCCACTGGTCCCTTAGTGCCCAGATGTGTTCTGCCACCAGACCAGGAAGGGACCGATTTCACCCAGCTTCCCCTCCGCTGCAACTATCTTCCTGGGAGCTGACATGGAGGTTTGGGGACAAGAGCTGAGCCCCCCGACCTCTCATTGTTTAAGCCAGTGCTGGCGAGAGCCCTGGGGACATCCGCTCGTGAACTTCCCCTGGCTGCACTTGGGACAGCCCTTGCACCAGCAGGATCCTGAGGGCCCTCCTCCTGCCTTCTCAGGCACCTGAGCCCTCTGCTTCACACCGGGCGGCTGGCCCAGAGCTGTTTCAGAAATAAAAGGACCTGGAAAGTTCTCTGTCACCCCCACTGGCCATCCTCAACAAACCTCCTCTTCCAAGAAGACTTCCCTGGTTATCTCTTGGCTCCCTTGGTCACACATGGCCTTGTACTACCTTGTGAGCTCTCTCTTTCTCCCCTCTAGTGCGTGTGTGTGTGTGTGTGTGTGTGAGAGAGAGAGAGAGAGAGAGAGAGAGACAGGCTGAAACAGAGAGACACTCGTTTCTCAAGCAAGAGCAGGGACCCAGTTTCCTACCCACAGACCCCCTAGACCCTAACTTGGGACAAGCTCCACTGGAGTGTGTGTGTGCGTGTGCACGTTTGAGTAGTACTTGGAGGACATTACAGACATCAGCAAAGAATTCATTTCAGCTAGAGACTGGGAATAAACAAGATAAAGGAGGAAACTGGTATAGTTTCTTCTGCATAGTAGCCTCTCCATAAACCTCATCCTCCATGTTGCTTTCCAGTTCTGTGACCCAGAAATGCCTTGGAAGGTCTGGACCGATACCCCATGCAGTGCCAGGATGGGTGGAGGATGGTTGGGGTGCCAGAAGTGATTGTGGTGGCCTACGGGGATGGCCAGGGTGCTCTCCACCCAGCCCCTGAGTCTCCAAATGTAATTCCAGGGTGAGTGTTCAAACCTCAATGCTGAGCGAGGGTCCTTTCAGGCTCATCTGGGACATGTGAGTGCCGGGTGACACCCAGCTCCCATGCTCACCAGAGGGGCTCACCTCTCCCCAAGCCGTGGTGTAGTGTACCAATGCCTGTTCTTCTCTTGTCTTGTTCACTGAAGGTAGCTCTTATCTCTCTCCCTTCCCACTGCCTCCCATGCTTGTGAGGAGCCAGACTCCTGTTCCTCATCAGTCTCCACTGTTTGTTCTCATCCCCCCACAAAGAACTCAACTTTTATATTATCTGCCCCCCAACCCAGCACACATAAGGGTCATGGAAACGGTGAAGCAGCGGACCCTGTGGGTTGGGGCCCACTGGGATAGCTGTACCCCAACCCAGCAGCATCACTGCTCTGGGAAGAAAGAGATCATTTTGCAGGGCTCCTTGTTCAAAAAGCAAGGAGAAAAAGCATCGTTAAAGCACTAAAATATAAAGTTTTCCCTTTCTTCCTCAGTCTCTCTCTTTCTTGGCTTGTCATGGTCTTTTTTATTTGCTGTTTGACGTTGTTTTAAGTAAAAAGAAATATAAATTTTAAATTATTAGTATAGATCCTGCCATTCATCTTTATTTTGTGTGGTGCCAGTTTTAAATGCAAATATCAGAACATTTAGCTCCTATGCAGAATCACCAAAATCACATAGTTTGTTTTTTGTGACTTGTGCCTGGAAGGTTCCTTGAGCCAGCCAGAAGAGACGAATGCAAGCCAGATTCAGGAAGGCTCAGAAGAAAGAGAGAATCGCCTCAGGCATGGAGATCCTCACAGGTACCCAGAGCGCCCCACCCTGCAACAGTGCTGTGGGGAGGGGGGCACATCTTGGGCCTGAGCACTGCTGGGCTCTCCTTTCCACTGACCACCCACTGACATGTTGCCACCTAGCCTAGCCTAGGATGGGCCCTTGGAAGTCAAGCAAGGCTTCATCTCCATCCGGAGGCCACCCACTGCCCCAATCCACAGTGGACAGTCAACCCTAAAGGGTATTATAAATGTTCTTCCAGGATGTGCTGGACTAGGGCAAGAGGCTTGCCCTTGCTAAGTCATGGCCTCTGTTGGCTAACCAGACATACCACAGTGCTACCAGCCTGGGGTACCCCCGGGTGAATAGGCCTGACCTAAACCTCCCCTAACCTGCACCCAGGCCACTGTTGGTCGGCCTAGAGGGCTGACTGTTGGCTTGTGGAGCCCGGGATGTGCATGGATTAGGCAGATGGTGGGAGGCAGAACCTCCCATGAGCAAGAGGCTGCAAGCCCCGTGCCTGGGCGGGAGCGGAGGGGGCGGCCAGGGGGGCGCCTTAGAGACCCGGCCTTTCCTTTAGTTTTTCCCTTTCTCGCCCCCGCGGAGGCTTTCTGGAAGGGGCCTGTGCGGGGGACTTGGCGCTGAAGTGGCCGAGCTGTTGGGAGGGGCCTGAGTGGGCGCTTCGAGGACCCAAGATTGTCTAAAGCCACAGGGAAAATGGTGGAAAATTCACCGTCGCCATTGCCAGAAAGAGCGATTTATGGCTTTGTTCTTTTCTTAAGCTCCCAATTTGGCTTCATCCTGTATCTCGTGTGGGCATATATTCCTGAATCTTGGCTAAACTCCTTAGGATTAACCTATTGGCCTCAAAAATACTGGGCAATTGCATTGCCCGTCTACTTCCTCATTACTACAGTAATTGGTTACGTACTCTTATTTGGAATAAACATGATGAGTACCTCTCCACTCAACTCCATTCATACAATCACAGATAACTATGCTAAAAATCAACAGCAGAAGAAATACCAAGAAGAGGCCATCCCAGCATTAAGAGATATTCCTATTAGTGAAGTAAACCAAATGTTCTTCCTGGCAACTAAATAACTTTATGCCAAAAACTAAATTGTATGTAGACTAACACCGAGCATTTACTGTAATTTTTTATATAATAATTTTGACCATAATTATTTTGACTCTCTCTCGTACCCAATATTGAAATGTAAACAAAGTAAGTTGATTCTTTTGGATTAAGTTATATTAATATTATAAAAGTTCTTGAGTATTAGTTATTAATGAACAGAATAAATAAAATACTGCATTACCATAAAAAAAAAGAGGCTGCAAGCCCTACACATGCTTCTTCATCCCACAGACTTCTTTGACTTGAAACATAAGAACAAAGAGAAAATTTTAAGAATTTCAAGATGGCGACTGCAGAGCACTAAATCCCACACATGTGACCCTCCTGAGCGTGCGTCCTACGTGCCTGAACAGTCTGTGCGCCCATGGAGCTACCCCACAGATGATGCCTATCTGGGTCCCCACCACCCTGAAGTTCTTTCCATCTACCAATGCCGGGCACCAGGCATTCCCTTGACCAGCAGGTATTCTCAGCATTGCTCCTGCTACAGGAAGATCATGACTTAAAGATTGACCTTTTGAAGATGAACCTTGGGCAACTTTGGGAGAATAGATTGAGAATTCTCAGCCTTTGGTATAAAAGGCTAGGGGTCAGGAAGCCACCACCCGATATGGACAGAGACGAGAACTCATGCCTGAGATAACACGGACCTAGGTGGGTGGCTCCCCAGCGACTCTGCTCTCCGCCAGGACTTGGCCTGAGCAGCACTTAGCCAATAGTAATTCACAATCAATTAATGGAGAAATTATTTGTTTAAAGCCCCAGGAAGGCAGATTCTGAATCACATGCCCTGTGCATAGTAGGCTTTCAGGAACCTCGGAATAAAATAAGCCTCCGCCCCACGGCTTCCACAGTCCCCTAGTGAGAAGGGATGGCAGGGGAATGGCAGAAGAAGTGCACATTATTTGGAGTTTGTTGTAAATATATTAATATTTTAATTATCTCCGTAATAAATCACATATGGTTCCTTCCATAGAGAGGGGTTAGAAATTCAAGGAATCTTGTCTGTTGTCACCATAAAGTTCAGACTTAAGGACAACCCAGCAGTTAGTGCAGAGGCCGGTCTGCCTTCACTGGAGACCTCTGACCTCAGTCCACTCTCCAAGGTACAGCCCGGCCAGGCCAGCTGGTGGCGCCCCTCCCAGGGCGTGGGGGGGCCATCCCCAGGCTGCCCTTTCTCCTGGCTACCTCCCACGCCTCCCTTAGGCCTCAGCTTCCCCCTGTTCCTTCAAGCTGCCCATTCTTTCCTTCAAATGCCTTGCCACAGCGTGGCCTGATGATGACCATTATTATCCCAACTTGTGGACTTATTTGTTCAATGTCTGTCTTCCCTTTGTGAGGGAAGGCCCATGCCCATTTGTTTTCCTGCTATACACCCAGAACCCTATGCACACCCCATCACCGGCCTTGCTCCCTCTTGCCTCAGCCATGCCCCTAGGACAGGAGTGTCCAGAGGTCAGAGTTGGTCACCTGCTGGACAGCTCTGTTTCTGACCCAAAGTCCCTCCCCTCCAGCAAGGTGGGGTTGTGGTACCTTCGGGTGAGGAGGAAAGGTTTGTTGCAGACTCCAGCCTCGATCCTCATTTAGAGAGACAGTCAGTGAGCACAGACCAGACAGACGAACCCGGGGTTATTGTTAAAATATGCAAATCCACAGCCCATTGAAAAGCAAACCCTCCAGATAAGATTTTTAATAAATCTGATTCTGCTTCCACTCCCCGCTCTGAGGAGGCCATCTGATTCTTGTTGGGTCAGGACACAAACCGGCATGTAGGTCCCGTCAGCTCTTCACCCCTCTTCTAATTTAGAAGGCGCAGCTATAGAAGTGGCCCCTGGGTGGGGCTGGCGGCCAGCCCAGGCCCTCCGCCCATCCCTCCGCAAAGTATTTGAGGTCACCTCCACATCACCCACAGAGCCGCCTTACCCTGTCCCTGTGCTGGTTACAAGGCCCCCCTTCTTTACTGTCGCCCTCACCTCCTCTCATACATACCTGTCTAAAAAGTAGAGTCCTAAGCCCCGGTGGCCCCCTGAGGGAGGCTTCCGTGATGGGCTCCACACAGCCACACTTGTCACTTTTTGAGCCATCGCCTCTGGACTCATTTTGCTGCTGTCACAAGTGGCCCTCAAGGGGATGAAGGGCAGGTGGATGAGAAGCAGCACAGACACCTGACAACCTTAAGGACACGGCTGTGACCCAGCCCAGACCTGGGCCTGTTGGCTCTGGGTCAGGACATGAGAGTATGCGGACCTGCGTGGGCCACCGCCCTGTGCCTGGATGGGAACTGGGAGGCCTGGGGGGGTGGTGGCAGGCGACAGTTGTCCTATCCTTCCCAAGCTCCAGGCCTTACGCTGATCACACGAGGTGGCTTATGTCCTCCAGTCCTCTCGGAAGCCAAGTGAGCCGGATGAGCAAAGTCACGGGGTGGGTAGGGTATGGACCAGGGCTGGGCATTCGGGGGCAGAAGGCCTGGGTGAGCTGAGGAGACGGTGCCAGCTAGCAGGGTGCCAGAGAGTGTGAGGAAAGTCCTGTGAGTGCCCAGGAAGTCAGGCAGAGTCAGGGGGAGCCGCTGTGGCCCCAGGAGGGCCTGAGCTGGTGTTGTGGGCAGTGTCCCCTGTCCGTCTCCAGCAGGGACAACAGAGCCCACAGGCCATGTTCAGAAAGAGTAAGTTTGGGGCGGCGTGCTCAGGGAAGGAGTCTGGTCAGGGATGCCTGAGAAGTGCCAGGTGAATGTTTAGATCCGAACCGGCCAGGGTTGTCTGGGTCCCCTCCCCATGTGTGGGAAGACAGAAGTCCAGGCTTATGCATAGCATGTACGTGATGGATTGAAGTAAAACTTCCCCAGTTTGGCTCTAAAGCTTGGATCCAGACGGTCCCTGAGTCCCAGCCCCAGCCTGGCCTTGTGCGCCTTCCACTTGGGAGGGAGCGCGGGGGAGAAGACCTTTGAATCCTAGCACACGACGCGGTGGGGGCGGCGGGGGGGGCAGAGGATGCCCTCTCCAGGGGGTGCAGCCTGAGCCAGAGCTGGTGCTCCAGGCACAGCGGGGTGGGGAGCTCTGTGCACGTGGTGAGTTGGCGGGTGGGGCACGGAGCCTCCGTCCCAGCAGCCCCCTTTGCGGGCCGCGCAGCCTCCGTGGTCCAGCCCCCACAAACAGGCCCTCGCAGTTGCTATGCAACAGGCTGTTCTGCTCTGCAGTGCCCAGCGAACAGCGAGCCTCGGGCAGAGGACTGACAGAGCCTATTGGTGGGGCTGCCTGGGGCTGCCCCCTCCCCTTCTCCCTGCTTTCCTCTCTCTCTCTCCTAGCCCTCTCCGAGCCTCCACCCTCTCCTTGCTCTCTGCAATCCAAGTTTACAGAATGCCTTCCCTTCACATGCAGGGCAGGGGGTGAGTTGGCACAAACAAAGGAGGTGCCGCCCCCAGCCCCCACCGTCGGGGGCCATCAAAGGTCTCTCGTACTGGTTTCCAGGAGGAAGGGACTCCCCAGTCGGCTTTTTGGATTCCCTTGTCCCCGCCCCCTCCTTGTGGGGCCGGCGTTGGGGCCATCTGTGTGGGTAGATGCTTCTGGGGGCTGTGGCAGTTCGGCGGACAGGACGGATACAGTGAGAAATCAGTGAGAAATCGCAGAGATGGGCTAACGTGCCCCTACCCACCTGTCAGGGCTCCCTCAGGTGCACACAGCCAAGGGCAGCCTGTCTCTTTGTTTCTGAGCCCCCCGTCCATCTCACCTGCTCCCACCAACACGCCAGGGCTGCCTGGCAAGGGTGGGAGGACCCGTGCAGTCCTAATTAAGATCTGCTGCTGTGGAAACCAAGCTTATTAACCTGCGCAGCCAGGCTGGGTCGCTAACCCTCTTCAGGGTTGGGGAGGGGGTGATTATTATTATTATTATTATTATTTTTAATGGCAGTGGATAGATAATTCTGGATGAAACAAGCCCTAGATTCAGTTGGGAGGCCTGGCTTTCAGTGCTAGCCATCTACTTGCTCATATGAGATGGGGCAGTTACTTGACCTCCTAGAGGCCTAGCCCCCTTGACAGTGAGGCAGGATTAATGTGAGAGCTCAGGTGAGTGCCTGGCATTCAGTCAGTGCTCAATAAATGAACCACAGCTGTCTTCTCTCTCCTTGTCTCTTCCCTTCCTCTTACCACACCTCCCCTTCTCCTCCTCTCTTAGTGGGTATTTCCATCATTTTTGAGGGACTAGCTAACATTTGATTTCCTTTCCACCGCCTACCCCCAGGCTCTTTTGGACTCTACTGAACTCTTGGACAACCTTGGGGCAAGATCGGGTGCTGATGGCAGAGGGTGGGAGACCATGCTCTCCTGAGGCATTAACACCCTGGGCTCAGGGACTCGTGGCCTCCCTTACCCTCTCAAAATCTCTCTTCCACCTGCCCCAGGTCTGTCCTCTCCTACTTGGCCTACCAGTTCTCGAGCCTATTGCTTTGTTATTTATTTATTTATTTATCTTTATTAAAATTTTTTTTTTAGTGATCTCCATACCCAACATAGGGCTTGAACTCACCACCCCAAGACCAAGAGTCACATGCTCTTCCAACTGAGCCAGCCAGGCGCCCCTGGAGCCCATTGCTTTGATGGGCCACTAAGTTTGTTCTTCCATCCATCCATCCATCCATCCATCCCTCCCTCCAACCATCTAGTGCTTACTAAACACCTCTGTGGCCCAGCCCCTGTTCTCTGGCTTAAGGATGGCACAGCAAACCTCAAAGACATGGCCCTTCCCTCCAGAAGCTCACAACCAGTCTGCAGAAGGGCCTTGCTGAAATGATGTTTAAGCGCCCCCTTCTTGTGACCCAGCCGTGCACCATACCTTCTGCTCTCAGTGCCGCAGCATAACCGAGTCCCTAAATGCCCAGCCACATGACCCCATACTTGGCAGCCCCAGCCACCCATTCACATGGAATTCCCTTCCTCAGCTCTTCAGTAGTTGCTCCCACACTACAGTGGTGGGGGTGGGGGCTC